CCTTCTGCTTCCCCAGCTCCTGGGGGAAAGCAGCCAATCAGGACTGCAGCAGAAGGAGGGCAGATCTCTCCGCGTTCCCCATGGCTCTGCTCCCCCCCCCGCTTTGCTCCTGTAATGGGTCAGTCTGCTCTCAGCTCCTCCCCCCACCCCCTTCAATGCCAGACCTGAGGATGGGGAAAAGGGGATTTGGGGCAGTAGCTCCCCCAGGCTGGGGAGGCTGGAGGGAAGAACGCCTAGAGCAGGGGTGTGCTGAGGGGCAAAGGGCAGCTGTGGGTAGTATTGATGTGGGGCTGTGGGTGCGTCATTCCTTCTGGGGGGGCAGAAGGGAGGTTGGACCGGCACAGCATGAGTTGGGGGGGCAGGAATGGAAGTTCCACGTGATCAGGCAGCGTGGGAGGCGAATCGGTGTAATTTCTTCTCCACGGGGTCCTCCGTCCACAGCAGGGCCCAGATCACCCTCCTCTCAGCATTTTGGGAGAATGGGAAACATGGCAATGTCCCATAGAGCCTCGGGGGTGAGAAGGGAGAACTAGGGGTCACCAGATGAAATGAATAGGCGGCAGGTTTGAAACTAACAAAAGGAAGTTTTTCTTCATGCAGCGCACGGCCAACCTGTGGAACTCCTTGCCGGAGGAGGCTGTGAAGACCAGGACTTTAACTGGGTTCAAAAAAGAACTAGATAGATTCATAGAGGTTAGGTCCATTGATGGCTATTCGCCAGGCTGGGCAGGGATGGTGTCCCTAGGCTCTGTTTGTCAGGGGCTGGGAATGGGTGGCAGGGGAGGGATCACTTGATTCCCTGTTCTGTTCACTCTCTAGGACACGTGGCATTGACCACTGTTGGAAGACATTGAGCTAGATGGGCCTTCGTTCTGACCCAATCTGGCCATTCTGATGTTCAAAAGTCAAAAGACAGATCAATATCACACGATTTGGGAACCAGTCTTGGTGATGTTTCAGGGTCAGGCACAGGACATTTGAACATTGGGGGGGCTGGCAATATTGGGCGAGTCGTAAACCTGGGCTAGTATGCTGGCATCCGCGTATGAGAATCTGGCCTAAAATTGCTGGCGCCCTTTGGGTTGAAAGCACCACACCGGTCAGCTTCAGAAATCCTTAGCCCAGGGGAATGTAATTTAGCTGACGTGTGTCAGCCTCGTGACCATTGGGCAAGTAGGAATGCTGCCCCTGTCACCCACACCCTTACTGGGGGTGGTTCCCTGTCCCATGGAGTGGCACTTAGACCGCTTACAGAAAAAATAATGAATCCTTTAGCTCACGTACAAATTGCCAGAGGTCCCAGGCTCAGTTCTGCCTGCACTACACAAACTTTCTGTGCACCCCAAGTTTCCATAGTTTGCTGAGAACCTTTTGTATGCTCATGTGGCAACTCAGAACACAGCTCAATTGTGACCTCAGCTAGGACTTGAACCCACATGCTCTAGTTTAAAAGGCCAGTACCATCCCTGTTCCACCACAGAGGGCAAATGAGCCACCTTGCCAAGAGTGTTTAGTGGCCAGCATGGGGCATGACCCCCTCTCCCCCACCCTGGCATTATTAGCATCACACTCTAGCCAGCTAAGCTAGCTGGCCCAAGAAGTTTTCCTCCTCTTGTTAATCAGATGACTTGCTTGTCTTGCCCGCTTCCTGTTGTTTCCACTGAAGAACTGATTAGCCGCGGCCAGCAGGGAAATCAAACTCATCTTGTAGCTTGCAGACCTCTTACTTGGCATAGTGTAACCCACTGGGTAGCCTGTGTTACTGGCCCCCTTCTGTGTCTATCTACCGATGTCGTGTGGGTCCCTGGTGCGTCCAGTGAGAGAGCTTTATCACTAGGTGCATCGTCTGCTCTCAATCCTTGAGGCGTTGGCCAAGAGGTGGGGCCTCACCACAGCACCGGATGCGGGTGTAATGTTACATTCCTCAGCTCGGCCCGGCCACGCACATGGAAAGTGGAACAGCAGCCCCCTGGAAGCAACTCTGCCACCCCTCCGAGGCCTGGTCTACACTGGAGGGGAAGGTCGACCTAAGCTACGCAACGCCGGCTCTGTGAGTTGCATAGCTGGAGTCGCCGTGCCTTAAATCCCCGTCCACACAGCGGGAGGCCGATGGGCGCGCACGGTGCCACTTGCTTCCCTTACTCCTGGCAGAAGGAGAAGCACTGGACGCCAGCGGGGGATGATTTCAGCATTCAATTGAGCGGGCCTGCGCTAGACCCGCTAAATCAAACATTAGAAGATCAACTTCTTCTCTGTAGTGCAGAGACACCCTGAGAGGACATAACATAGGCAGGCTTGTAAAGACATTAAGGCTCCCTTATTCTTTTGCACAAGCGTGTAGGGCGAGCGATGATTTTACATCAACTTAAATAATTAGAGGTGATCAAAAAATGACACTTTTTCAATTTAATTTCCTGATCTATCTGTCTGTCTGTCTATCTATCTATCTATCGAATCATAGAACGGGAAGGGACCTCGAGAGGTCATCAGGTCCAATCCCCTGCCCTCATGACAGGACCAAGCACTGTCTAGATCATCCCTGACAGGTGTCCGTCCAACTTGCTCTTAACTATCTCCAGAGATGGAGATTCCACAACCTCCCTAAGCAACTTATTCCAGTGTTTCACCACCCTGACAGGTAGGAATTTTTTCATACTGTCCAACCTAAACTTCCTGTGCTGCAATTTCAACCCATTGCTTTTGTCCTGTCTTCAGAGGCCAAGGAGAACAATTTTTCTTCCTCCTCCTTGTAACACACTGTCTATCTAATCTGGTGTTCAAAAACCTGACCCAGAAACATCGCTGGGGTCTCTGAAAATTTGAAACAATTCACTTCTCAGTAGAAATGTTTGGTTCCTAAATTTGCTTTATTCCTCTTTCAGAAGCAGAAAAATTTGCCCAAAGCAAATAAGTAGGTTATAGTCAGAACGCTGTTTTTTTTTGGCAAAGATGCTGTGGCACGAAACCTTTTAGCTGTCGCTATTCAACCCCTCTGCCACCTGCCAGCCGCCCCTGCCCACAGTGCCTGCATAAGCTCGGGGCCCTGGAAAGCCAGGAGGGCGTTCGCCTTGGGGATGCCTGCTGAGGGCCCGGTTCTGCCACTGGCAACCTGTGGGAACTTAGAGGCGTCGCTCAGTTCTCCCTCAGGGAGAGGCAGAGAACGGTGCTGCTCCATCCTGCAGGCCTGTGTTGAGGCACTCGGTATGACAGTCAGGAGGCCCTTATAAGTACCGGTCATGGAAAACATTGTCCTTTCCCTCCTGCCTGTGGTCCCAGCTCCTCTGGTTTTCCTTAGCTTCGCTTGGGGCCTGCTCACCCCACCGTGAGACGCCCCTCCCCCCTCCGTTTGTGTTCTCTTTCGCAGGATGGGGTTATACGGGAGCAAGCACCGCTCCCCGCCACACACGCAGGCCGATGCTGCGAATAGGACAAAGCCTCCGATATTGTCCAGGAAGAAACAGCCCCCGCCCCCGCCCCCGGTAAGTAACCCGCTTTCCATTTCCTTTCTGTGCCCCATGGTAGCGTAGCCGCTTGTCCCCACTACCGGGAGATCCATGCTGGGGTGATCGATCCACCGGGGGTTGATTTAGCAGGTCTAGTCCACCGCAGATGGCTCCCCCATCAATGCCTTAGCTCCACCAGAACGAGAAATGAGGTTTCTCCCATCGATCCAGCGCCATGTAGACACGGCCACAAGCCGACCTCAGCTACGTCGACTCCAGCTGCGTCCCTCTCCTGTCTCCCACTTTCAGACAAACAGAGGCTAGGGATATTACCTATCCTGGTTAATAGCGTTTGATGGACCTAACCTCCAGGAATCTATCTAGCTCTTTTTTGAATCCTGTTAAAGTCCAAATCTTCAGCACATCCTCTGGCAAGGAGTTCCACAGGTTAACTGTGCACTGAGTGAAGAAAAACTTTCTTTTGTTTGTTTTAAACCTGCTACCTATTCATTTCATTTGGTGCCCCTAGTTCTCATATTGTGGGAATAAGCAAATAACTTTTCCTTATTCACTTTTTGCACACCAATCATGTTTTTATAGACCTCTATCCTATTCCCCCGAGTCTCCGCTTTTCTAATCTGATAAGTCTCAGTCTTTTAATCTCTCTTCATATAGGACCCGTTCCAAACCCCTCATCATTTTTGTTGCCCTTTTCTGAACCTTTGTATGCAGGTGTAAATAATTAACCCTGATATTCATGAGCAAGGAACACCTCATGACAATTATGCCAGCGTTTCTTGCTTTTTTGCGTGGAGTGGTGTTCCTTTCTCATTTTTATCAGCTGATTCATTGATGCCTCCTGCGTGGGTTAACAGACCTTGTAACAATTGACTGAATTACAAGTAAGGCAATGTTTGGAATCTAGATAAGCAGGTAGCTCCGCTATGATCATCCAAATCAATTGAGGAGACGTGGGGGTATTTAAGGACATGAGCAAGCAAGCTCCCTATGCATTATAATAAAGTGTACTCACACCTGGAAGCCACCTAGACGGCCTGATCCAAAGCACATTTAAAGCAATAGAAAGTCTCTCATTGAATTCAGTGAGTTTAGGATCAGGCCTTGAGTGGCTTTTGTACCAGAAAGCAGATCCTTCCACTCGTCCAGCAAAGTAACCAATGGACTTTCTTTGTTTCTCCCCAAGTTCAGACAACATGTTAATACCTCGCCTCCAAACCAGCCATCCGCTCAAGGTAAGATTCTTACATTTCATCACCTTCTCTGGGATGCTCGTCCGGCACTGTGCCGTGAGTGGGGGGGTGAGTGAATTAGTGCTGGTATCGATTCATTTGTGGTTTGTTTTTTATGGTTTGTATGCAGATGCACCGTTAGGTGCTAATTAGCCTGGTCGACATCTTAGGCTGGCTTAGCTGCGTGGCTCAGGGGTGGGAAAGCAGACAAGTCGTTAGAAGGATGGGATGCAAATCGGGAAATATTGGAAATCGTCAATTTCTCTCTCCAGGCATAACCCTATGGGTATGTCTACACTACACACTTACTTCGGAATAAGCAACTCTGGAAGAAATACTCCGAAATGGCTTATTTTGAAACAGCACATCTACGCTACAGGGAAGCCTCGAAATGAGTCCGAGGCAGGCTCCCCTCATGTGGATGTGCTCCCACGCTCCTGCTATTTCGGAAGAGGCATTATTCCTCATGGAATGAGGTTTACAGAAGTCGGAATAAGCTGTGTAAACACTGGCATGGTTATTCCGAAATAACGCTGCTGTGTAGACACACCCTCGGGGGAGAAATGTTCTCTGTTACTTGGCCAAGTGGAGCAAAGTCTGCACAAGGGGATTTGAACCAAGGACGTCCACAACTAAGATTAAGAGCTGGTCCAGTTTGAGCAAAAAAAACCCAGCCTGTGCTAACAGTTGCTGTAACAGACCCATGGATAGTGCATATGAGCAGAGCCAGCGACAGGGGGCAAAGGGGCAGCTCCCCAGGGACCTGGCAGTTTGAAAAGGCCCAGGGCTTTTGGCTGCCGCTGTATCTTGGCAGCGGCCGTGGCGGGAACCCCCCCCCGGCCTTTTCTTTTCACTGGACCCCTGGCGGCATGTGCCCTGCAGCCCAGGCAGCCCTGAGGGACTGGTTGGGAAAGGCCAGCCCCCAGCCCCACCCCTTCCATGTAAGGCCCCTCCCCTCGGCGAAGTCTCTGGTCTCTCGGCATAGGAGATGTAACACACATTCAGGCGTGAGTTAGGCATACCCCAAAACGGTATGCGTTACACTACCGTGGTTGAGATAAGTAGATGCTGGGCTTTCTGAAATTGGCTGAAGAGAGCTCTGTACGGAGTGCTTCTGTTTCACAAAGAATAAACTCAGCCACTGCTGGGCGTGCTTCAGCCAATTTCGAAGCACCCGCGTTAAGGTGCTGCACTGACAGAATTACATGAGTGCAAGTTTTGTGTGTGAACAGAGCCTGAGACTCAGAAGAACTGAGTTCATTGTCTGGCTCTATTGTAGACTTTCTGGGTGATCCCAGGGAGAAATGACAGCTTCTGTGGGCCCCTGGGCAAGATGTGTGTGGGGGTGCTCCTAGAAGGGGCGGGGCTTTGGGGTAGAAGGGGTGGAGCCTTGGATGGAAGGGGCGGGGTCTTGGATGGAAGGGGCGGGGGCGGGGCGGGGCTCCAATTTAAAGGGCCTGGGGTCTTTTTGAATCACCAGGCTCCAGGGTAACTGCCCCCTTTGTCACCCCCATCATCAGGCCTCGGGGACCCCAAGCAAGCCATTCCCAGTCTCTGTGCTCCAGTTCCTCCTCTGAAAAACAGGGCTCATAATTCTTCCTTCATCCCATCCTTTGCCTCTCCTGCCTCATTAGATGGAAACTTCATGCAGAGGACTGTGTTCAGACTGTGGCGGTGCCTAGTGGTCCCGATCCAAATTGGGGCCCAGTTGTGTTAGGCGCTCTACAAACATAATAAGCAAAAGTTCCTGGTCTGTAGAGCTCACAGTCTCCATACAGGGCCTAGCCCATCGGGGCCTCAATTTAGGGTCTCATCACGGCTAATCATTTATAGTCCGAGGATGGTTTTTGTCAGTTGAAGGGAAAATGTTACAATTAATATGAAAGATTATGTTGCTATTGATCAGAGTTCTGGTCATACCTCCAGCACATACTGAGGAAACGATTGTTCAGAAACAGGGGATCCATTTATTTTTATTTCCCATTTGTGCACAAATGCGAGCCAATCAAAACAATGTACATATGAAGGAATAGCCCTAGAAACACAGGCAAAATAAGCACTAAATTCTTCCGACTACTTATGGCTATCGAAAGAACCTCAACATAAGAAAATTAGGCTCTGCCCAGACAAGGAGACAGACATTTAAATGCTCGAGTTAAAATTGAACAACATCTCTTAAGCTGAGCTGGGTGCAAACCCGCAGTCCCATCCCCGTGGGAAATTCGGATCTTTTTGCGATACCTTTTTTTGGTCTGAAATCAGGATGAAAAGTCAAAATGTCAAGACTTTTCCCAGGCTGGAAAGTTGTTAAAAATGTCCATTCCGAAATGACAAAATGATTTGTTTCAGTCTGGTTCCACTTTCATGGGTGTCCCTAGGACGTACAATGGAAAAGGTGATTAAAACCAGGCTTTTTACTTGGCGATTTGACTCGCCAATTTAAATCCGCCCACCTGGTCATTGACTCTAGAGGGGTTTGACCTCACGTCTCCCATTCTCATTAACTGTAAGCCAGGGGTAACTAGTAACTGCCTCAGAGGGATGAGGTGGGGTTTGACACAGCAGCCCGCGTGATGCACACAGAGCTCCCCGACAGAAAACGCTGCCGTAATGCAAAGTAACATTCTGCTTCCAAACTTTCCCTCTCGCTGGTGCTGCTCCTCCCTCCTATTGGGGGAAGCGTCAAACTTCCCCACACTCGAAGCTGCCGGCTGACCTTCAAGTTCCTCCCTGCCACTTTCAAGAGGCCTTGGTTTCCAGAGCCTCACTATTTCCCCTCATGGTCATGTGCTGTCTCCAATAAATCCCAACCCAATGGCTTGGCTCGCACAAACCTCGGGTTGCTCTGGAGATGTTTTATCTGCCCGGGAGAAGGGGCAGTCTGGGCTGCCAGCGGGCAGGTGGCATTGTTTGAAAAGGGCAAAGAAAAAATGGGACTCGACTCTGTCTCAAGACACTCTGTCTGTAGACTATTTATCACTCTTGCCGCATTCGTTAGGCTGCGCCCAGACAAAACCTCTCCACATCCCATGGGTTTTTACTTCAGCTCTTAGGAGGGGCTGCTCACACCCCCTGAATGTGAGGAGAGCAGAGGGCGTTTCTGCCTTGGGAGCTGTAACCACACAGACTCCTTACACGCTGGCTCAGAGAGATGCAGCCGTGCGGTAGGCCCGGGGCCGGGCCACGGAGCAATGAAACCGCCTTGTCCAGTGACCAAGGATCCACGTGGGAGCAGAGTATTACATTAGGGCTACGTCTAGACTGGCATGAATTTCCGGAAATGCTTTTAACGGAAACGTTTTCCGTTAAAAGCATTTTCGGAAAAGCGCATCTAGATTGGCAGGACGCTTTTCCGGAAAAGCACTTTTTGCGGAAAAGCATCCGTGGCCAATCTAGACGCGGTTTTCCGCAAAAAAGCCATTTTCGCGATTGGGGCTTTTTTGCGGAAAACAGTACTGTGCTGTCTACACTGGCCCTTTCCGGCAAAAGTCTTTCGGAAATAGACTTTTTCCCAAATGGGAGCAGCATAGTTTTTCCGGAAAAGCACTGATGATTTTACATGAGATCGTCAGTGCTTTTCCGGAAATTCAAGAGGCCACTGTAGACAGCTGGCAAGTTTTTCTGGAAAAGCAGAACAAGGAGCAATGGTCTCAAGTTGTGGTGGGAGAGGTCCAGGTTGGATATTAGGAAAAACTATTTCACTAGGAGGGTGGTGAAGCACTGGGATGGGAGAGTCTTCTCTGAGGCGACTCTGCTGAGGTAAAGTTGCTGCGCCAGGCCCACAGCCTCTGCCCTGAGGTGTTGACAAGCCATGGACCTTGATCCGAAGCGGGCGGGAACAAGGAAGAGGATGGCAGCAGCACCAGTATTTGGAAGGGTCATGAGCGGGGATAGAGCTGCAGTCGTCAAGATATGAGATCCACGATGGCATGTACAGCACATCCACTGCATGTCCCCTAGCACAGGCATTCATGGCAGCGTCACGGCGAGGTGCGAACATCACAACGGCCATCAGACCAAAGGTCCACGCAGCCCAGTGTCCTGTCTGCCCACAGTGGCCAATGCCAGGTGCCCCAGAAGGAGTGAAGACACCAAGAATCCTCATCCCCTGTTGCCCATTCTTTGCTTCAGACAATCAGAGGTAGGAACACCATCCCTGCCCATCCTGGCTAATAACCATTCATGGACCTAACCTCCATGAATGTATCTAGCTCTTTTTGGAACCCTGTTAAAGTCCTGTCCTTCACAACCTCCTCTGGCAAGGAGTTCCACAGGTCGACTGTGCGCTGCATGAACAAATTTTTCCTTTTCTTTTTTTCCATTTCATTTGGTGGCCCCTAGTTCTTGTGTCATCTGGAGTATTGTGTCCAGTTCTGGGCCCCCCACTACACAAAGGATGTGGACGCATTGGAGAGGGTCCAGCGGAGGGCAACCAAAATGATTAGGGGGCTGGAGCATATGACTTATGAGGAGAGGCTGAGGGACTTGGGTCTGTTTAGTCTGCAGAAGCGAAGAGTGAGGGGGGATTTGATAGCAGCCTTCAACTTCCTGAACTTTTTTCCCATGCCGAGAGATCTATTTTGAGATGAGGCAACCATATCTGCACACAGTATCCAAGAGGTGGGCGTACCCTGGATTTACACAGAGGCAATAAGATATTTTCTGTCTTATTCTCTGTCCCTTTTTTAATTATTCCTAACCTTCTGGTTGTGGAGTAAAGACATGGCAGAACCTTCGGATATTCACACTCTGTGTGCCCAGACAACATCTCCCTCCCTCGCCCACTGTAATTTTTAAGGTTAGTGTCAGTGGTTTCTGGTAAGCTGTGTGTGTGGGTGTAACGCACACACCTAGGCTATGTCTATACTGCTTCCTTCTTGCGCAAAACCTATGCAAATGAAGCGTGGATTACTATATTGCCGTGCTTCATTTGCATAATTAATTGGGGGGTGTTTTTCCGCAAAAGCGGCTTTTGCACAAAAAGGAGCTGTGTAAACGGCTCATTTTTGCACGAAAACTCCCCTCTTGTGCAAGAGCCGTTCTTCCTGAAAAAATGAGGAAAAACGGCTCTCGTACAAGAGTAATAGAGATGTAGCCGTGTTAGTCTGGTCTAGCTGAAACAAAAGACAGGACTATGTAGCACTTTAAAGACTAACAAGAGGGGGATTTTGCACAAAAAGGAGCCATCTACACTGCTCCTTTTTGCACATAAGCCTCTTGCACCAAAACGGCCCCTAATTAATGATGCAAATGAAGCACAGCAATATGCTGATCCGCACTTCATTTGCATAGGCTTTGGTGCAGGACAGGTGCAGTGTAGACATAGCCCTAGTGTGGTTCACTGTCCCATGCAATGGCACTTAGACCACGGACAGAGAATGCTTAGAACAAGGGAGTGCTCCAGGCTAAACTGGGTGCCAGCTGGCTTTATAGTTCAGGCTGCAGAGGATCCTGCACTAAGCTCTGGAGATCCTAGGTTCAAATTTGTCCAGTGGTGGTTACATGGGCAGCCCCCCAGGAGAAATTCAGATACTGCCCAGCTGATTAGCAGAGAGCCCACAGCCAGCAGCATGTTTCTATGGGTGGTGCACATGCCTTAGTGCATATAACAAAAATTATTCTGCAGGTACATGGAAAAAATAGCGGAACATGGATGGTGTCTCTTTTCCAGCCTGCGCAGGAGCCTTTTCCTGCCACAGGGAA